AGTGGCATGTCCTTGTCTGGTAATACTAATAGAAACCAGAATGAGGAAATAGGCAAAAGTCTATTTTCTGAAATCTATTTTGGTGGGAAATACTCTTAAAAATGCTCCACCTCCTTCTCAGAGTGGCAATATTGGTAAATACAATCACTAGAAATAACAGTATTTGGTGGATATAATGATTTTTTTCAGTCTCCCAAAGTGAAGATTGTAGTAATCTCTGTTTCATTCCCTTGCGTGTTGTAAAATAATCTATTTTCATAGTGATATCTCAGCTAATTACACTGAAAAGAAGTGTCTTATGTTTCTACTTTCCCTCCATATTAATACATTCTATATTGTTAGTCCTGATTTGTGAGAACAGAGAGGATAGCTGATGCTTTACAGCTGCATATGTTTTGGGGATTGCCTCTGTAAAGAGTCATGACACTATCAGTTGACTGTTTATATACATATGATCCATGCAGATAGCTTAGGTGTTTTTACTAGGTTTCATGCATTTTGAATGAATAAATACATGTTGAGGGAGCAGCTTCTAACCATCTTGACTTCTGCAATGTGTTTAATTTGTCTCAAAGGCTAATCCCATAGGCAAATATTGTTCCCTTTCTGTGAGAAGTCAGTTCTTACTTATAAATATCTAAATAATAAAACCTTCTATTTCATAAAGACTTTTTTCAAGACCAGGAGAGAGCTGAATGTATTCCCTGTTTAATTACTGCTCAGCTTTTATTCTGGTCTATGCAATGGTCTTATGTGCTTCTGCTGACTTTGTAGGTAAGACGTGCTTGGCTTGTGAGTAACTACGAGACTGGCTTTTGAAGCAACTTCTCTACAGTTGCATCAGGCAGAGTTTCTCATTCTGGTTTTCTAGGCATGTATGAAAGCTGAGTGGGATGTTGCACGGCTTTGTTTCTTATAAAATTAATGTTGGTTATTTTGTTCCTGCAGTTTCCTAATGAGTTAAAAGGATTTCAGAATCTGCGAGTCTGAAATTGCGTCCAATGGAATGGAAGAGCTAAATATGTGTGGTTCGTGCTACCTCTCTTTACACTGAATGAGATAGTTAAACACTGAACCAAAGACAACGTCCAGTGCCTTAAATAAAACAAGCAATTTGCCATGAAAGATGCAATCTTTCATAAGCTTTACATCTTCTTAAACAACTCTTAGTGAAAATCTGAACTGAATGCTTAGAGCTACATTTCTGTAGACTAACTAAACCCAGTACTTTAAATTCAATTGGATAATCTGCTTTCCATATATTTTTTCCCCTCAAATATTTATCACTTGATTCCTGTTTGTGCATAGCAGGTGACAATAGCTTTTCTGTTGTGCCTTTTCGTGGTGAGAAAATATCTTCATGTCCCTGGAGATCTTTTCCTTCAGTCTGTATCCAACCCTTGGACCATACTCCCAGTGAGGAACGTGCATATCCTAGAGCCACGTCTCGTTTTTGAGAAGCGTACGTAACTGCTGTATGATGCAAGAGGTTGTTTCACAGATGGAGAATTTTCAACAGGTAGAATGGGGTTATTAATTCAATTATTCATTAAAAGCTTTCTTTGCCGAATGTTGAAACTGCAACATTTAAGTTGTAAACGTTGGCTCAGAGCTGAAAAAAAGATGTTCTGATACTGACTAACACTCAGATTCTCAAAAATGCAAACCAGAACTGCAAAGATAACAAGGTATCTGTAGCATGAATTAAAGGCTGCTAACTAGCTTTCTAGTTACTGCTCAGACAAACCAACAAGTACCAGATGTTTTGGTTGCTAAGTTCTTGCATTCTCTGCTTATTTTCTCCAAGTTTTTACCCTTGGGGAGGATATAGGAGTGGGCAGAGATGTCTAATCCCAGGGTAAATGTTGTTACACAGGAAAGATTGTTAGCTTTGCAGTTGAAGGCCTGTGCTTTTTGCACTTCCCTTTTGTTCTCTCTTCTCACAAAGATACTTTGCCTTAAGGATTCTTGAGTGGAAGACGTGCCTCAGCCCAAACTGTTGTGCAGTTCAGCATCTGTACTACAGGAAGCCTTTGCAGCCTGATTCAGTAATACTTCCTTCCATAGGCTGTGGTGGCCTTGGAGGTTACTAGCCAGAGCGAAATACAATGAGACTTTTATCTCCTGCTTCTTCCTCTCCCCTGTCCCAGGGGATTACAGAATTTGGACACTTTAGATCAGATCTCAGAAAGGACTGTATCATTCAAAGCAGAATGTTATTTTTATGGAATTATGCTAAATTAACACTTCTCAAGTGCCTTAACTTCACTAATTTAGTTGTTTGATGTTTCAACTTGTTGAGATGCATTTTTCTGTGCCATACAGAATGACAAGCCTTAGTGGAATGGATAAAATGAGTGCCTGACTGGATTTTGGACAAGTTTCAATAAATTTTATTAGTCTAATCCATGCTCCTGTGTCTTTTGAACTTCAACACAAACCAAACCTACCTCTGTCCTTCCACAATTGCTTCAACGGGTTAATGAAAGTGTCTGTCTATAGTAAATAACCTGAGTGTGGCTGAGTAGACTGGATTAGCAGCCTATATGTGTTTATGTGGGAAATTAGAGCCCAAAATGTCAATACTACAGATTTTCTCGTGTAGCCAACTACATGTAAAGGTTGCATGGTTTTCACTTGTCTTTGACAGCTGCCCTGAGCTGCAGATCTTGGCTTCCTGGAGTCCTAGTCAGAAACTAACAGCATTTCTGGAAGTGGAATGTAGTTACAACAGATTTGCCTGGAACAACTCTGGACCGCTGTACCTGTTGCTTATTTTCCTGCCCTGTTGGTATAATACTTGCAACCAACCCAGAAGTTTATTGGACTACAGTCATTAACAGTGCAGGCCAAAGGGCTTATGTTCTCAATCTAAAGAAGTAATGTGGGTTTTTTTAACATTCAGACTTTTTTCTGATTCTTCTGATATGGTGCATGTTTTATTCTATCCCTCTAAAAAGCATCTCCTCACATACTGACTAACTTTAAACAGTTGTACATTACTCTGGTGGATGGTGGAGACGTGTTGACCGTCTGCTTCAGGTGGTACAGCTGTTGAGAGTTGTGGATTTTCCTCTTTTTTTCTACACATGGCGTATGAAATGAAAATAACTCTTACTTTTTCCAACAACTTTTTTACTGTAGGCTGAAACTGAAGCACATGGAGGAGGGAACAAGTGTGATAGTGGAGCAAGAGAAGATTGAGTGCTTGCAAGGACCTGTAGCAGATTTAGAGAGGATGGAATTCTAGAAAGGTTTGACTTGTGCCGCAGTTGAGAGGTAATGGCCAGCTATAACTGGTGCCAAAATTGATTCTTTGGGACCATTGGCATGTGCATCGCACTAACTAGTTTGTATGATACAGTTCTGGACCGGCAGAACACAGGTGGGAGAGGCAGTGCATTCGAGAACCGGTATGCTAAAACTGGGAGTTTGATGGGGCCATCTCCTTTAGAAAGTGAGTCATTAAACAGCTCGGAAGGATGGTAAAAGCTTCCCTTCAGAGAACACTAATCATAATAAAAGGAAAAATGGTATGTTCTGTAGCTGAAAATGGACTGTGTGGTTTTGTTTTAATGTGGCTGGCCTCAGAGATTGATGCTTTTTCTGCTTTTGAGAAGGGGCCATGATGCACTTAAAAATTATTTTGGACTAATAGCTAGCAGTAATGTAGGGAGCTCTCGGAGCTAAGCCCAAGGCAAGATAGTAAATCTAATTTGTTTAATCTAGGTAATGGTTTGTGTTATCTAGAATTTACTGGAATCACCTGTTTTCAAACCATTCTAGTGTTGAGGACAGGACGTGGCACTTTATGGTGGTGCCTGATGGTCGTTCCTGCAGTTAAGCCTTTAACAGATGCTTCATAAGCACGTGCTCTTCATGAGCAGGTTGGCTTAGTCCTCCGGCAGGAAGGAAAACGTGGCGAGCTCTGCGTCTGCTGGGTATGGCTTGGTGCTCCTGCACGTTACCTTAATGAATCCCATGGCTGGTGATGTCCATGTGGCTGAGTGTACATCCACAATCCCATGATTAGGATACACCTTCAGATGTGAGGGTAAGAACAAATTAAACAGTGCTGATAACCCAGGGATGTTCTGGTTACTGCTGAGTGGTGCTGACACAGAGTCAAGGCCTTTTCTGCTCCTCACACCACCCCAGCGAGTGGGCTAGGGGTGCACAAGGAGTCGGGAGGGGACACAGCCAGGACAGCTGACCCCAGCTGACCAAAGGGATATCCCAACCGTATGGCATCATGCTCAGCATGTCAAGCTGGGGGAAGGGGGGACGTTTGGAGTGATGGTGTTTGTCTTCCCAAGTCGTTACATGTGATGGAGCCCTGCTTTCCTGGGGATGGCTGAACACCTGCCCTCCCATGGGAAGTGGGGGATGAATTCCTTGTTCTGCTTTGCTTGTGTGTGTGGCTTTTGCTTTACCTATTGAACTGTCTCTGTCTCAACTGACTCCTACCCTTCTGATTCTCTTCCCCCATCCTGCTGGGGGGAGTGAGCGAGCGGCTGTGTGGTGCTTAATTACCAGCTGGGATTATACTGACACTGACAAATCAAGGCAGAAGTTTTAGAAGTACTGAAGAAAGCAGATTCCTTGGCTTCCTATACGTGTGGAACATAATGAAAATCAGGTGCCTGAATGGCTTACGCTTGTTGGGATGTGCTGCCCGTGACATCAGATCACGGTAGATGGTGGCATTTTGTAGCCAAACTTTGTGTCTACAAAAGAAAAGAAAAGAGTGGTCTGTCGTGTTCCTTCGTGCTTTATTAGCAACGATTTCTGATAGGGAGTTTGGAGAAATTTCTAGTCTGTAACAGAAAATCACTTCTGCCGAAATCAGGTTTTGTGGAAGATGGTGAAACGTCAGAGTGCTTTCATCTGCTGTGAGAAATTAGTTCTCACAAAGGACTTGGAAAAGCATTGGTGCTTTACTCCTGCATGGGACCTTGATGTTTGCTGCTTTCTTATGCTGAAAAGGTTTAATTATCAAATCCAAACCACTGCTCAACTGATTCCACAGCATCACTTTGAACTTGGTTACAGGGAATAGAGCCACAGCAAAGCACAGAACAAACCCCGCTCTGGACTTGGCGGTCATCTGTTTTTGGGTTGTACTGTGCTTTTCCTCTGATGACCAGAGAATGAGTTTCATTGCACACAATCTGTTCCCCTTAAAAGCTCAGATCTTGACCGTTCCTTTGGAGTGGGTTTGAGCGTAGTGTTTTATTGTTCAGAACTAATTGTGCTACTTTCATCACAGACAGTAATCTGGAGAAGATGTATATGTGGTTGGTATTTCTAGGTCAGAAGCACATAAAGTTATTAAAATAATCTCTTGTCGATAACTATACATGTATTTCAACCATTTTTCTTAAAAGTAGGCTAATATCTACTTAAGAAAACTAATTACTATCATTATGGAAAAAAAAATAGTCAGAGTGATGAGACTCTGCAGTGGCCCTTGGTTTGTCCTGCAGATGAAACCCTGAATCCTCATTCTTCCAGGTGTGTTGGAGCAGCCAGCAGTGTCTGTTAGTGGGGCACTGGAGGAGGGGGTCCTATGTGCATGGGGATGTGCAGAACGGGTCTCTGTCCATACGCAGATTTCTGTCTGCTTCTAGAAGGTTTCCTCGCAAGATCGTACCGGGTTTTGCCTTCTGGGGTAATTGCTGGGAGATGGGAACATTTCCATTCTTCCGTTATCTTGACCTTTTCTCACAATAGGATTTTTTTCATGTGTAACTTGAAATTGAAGGCAATTAAATTTGTTCTTTTAAACTGATTCCACATACCTTCTTCCATCTCCCAAGGAAACCATAAAAGGAAAAATAGAGAGTAAAAGCAATAAATATATCGTGTAGCTATTCTAAGTCAGTAGAATATTAGTCCATCGAGCAAACTGAATCCCTGGAAGAGGACAATAAAATATTTTGTGTTCTTATTTTAATCACACAATTGGCATACTAATGCAGAGCGGAGAGTCGGTGATGCTTCCGGTTGCATTCCTCTGTTGGCAAAAAAATAGAATGGCTTTTTCCAGTTTTTTAATGGAGTTTGTAGCAGTCAGTTGACACGGATTTATTTTTTCCTTCTAAAATTTAGCTAGAAGGCAGGTGATGCTTTGGTCTTTTAGAGCTGCAGCATTGACCCTGAGACAGCATTTGTTAACAAAGCTGTTACTGAATCTGCTCTGTGGTGGTACTGAAATTCAGCAAATACAGGATGCAGTTCTTGGGTAAAGTGCTAATTTTTAAAGCAAATTCTGCTTAGAGCTGTTTGTAGACTTGTGTAAACTTGTATGTGCTGAAGTGCAAAAATGCTGTTTATACTATTATTGTTCCCTTCTAGAATGAAACAGACATTAAGGAGTAGCTTAGCTGACACAGCTTTCCTTTGGGTTTTTTTCCTCCTCTTTTGCACGTTGCGTTAGGAAACCAGGTGAGTTGGTATGCTTTTTCCAGCTTCTGCAGAAAAACATATTAACCTTTAAAACTGGTTATCGTTTTACGGAGCGTATAATACTTGTGTCACCCGATTCAAACTCGGTGTGGTACTGGACTTGGCTTTGGTGGTGCGTACTTCTGGTCGGGAGGGAGTGTGTGTGTGTGTAAGTTGACATGAAAAGCCCAGCTTGTGCGGTTTGGTGGCCTTCTCACAAAAGCATCTAACTTACTTCCCTCTGAACAGGGGTGTGTCCAATCCTCTTCCCGTACAGGTAGATCTGACAGGAGTGTAGAAGCTGCTAGTAGAAGCAGGGAAAATTTATTTTGGCATAATCGGTGAAGCTCCAATGACGTGTTTCCTTGTGTCAAGAATTCCTGTTTTTTACAACAAAGGTGATTGCAGAGCAGGGTCTAAGTGAAGCTCCAGCTGTCAGTGTAACTTGGGTGCCGTTCAGCCTTGATAATTCCCAGTGTTGCGTACATCGTTCGTATCCGTCTGCCTTTTTCTTCTGCCCTGGGGAAGCGCCTCCCAAGCTCGCTTCTGTGCTGGTGTCCTGGTCTGAGCCGGGCGGCTGCTCCCCACAGAGCGCCGAGGCCGCTCAGGTGCCGTCGCTGGGGTTTGGCCGGCATCGCGGCGTTACGTTGCAGGGCTGATGTGGTTAAACGCCGTGGCTGAGTCAGTGAGGTTGACTCCCAGATGTGGAATTGCCCAGCGCCGCGGCCCTGCCATGGTGAAGTGGGTGGCTGGGGAGGGGGCGAGAGCTGCCCCTCGCTTTTGCCTGCCCCCGCGGGGTGCGCGTCGCTTGGCTC